TACGTCATACCTGGTATACCTGATATATACGTACGTCATACCTGGCGGACGTCGATCACACCTGGTGACGTCACTGCACGATGCCCCGAGTTAAACAACAACAAGATGAAACGTACGCGTACATAGCTATTGAGACGCAGCTCAGAAACTGCACGACCTAGACGTGACGCGGCCATGATGCCGAGGCGCGCGAGGATTGACACTTGTTTGTCTTCCAATCACAGCCCTACGCCGCACCAGTCTTTGATATTTTTAAATATGGGGACCCATTGGACCACCGAATCGCCGATCTTAGGAACTAGGGCATTCTGCTATGTTAGAACGGTTTCCTACAATAGAGTTTGCCACAAATACGAAAATAACACACTGTTTAGCGCACTGCGCTACGTCCTTCTGTAGCATTTTCGCATCTCCGTAATCAGAATAAGTCCCGCTTTCTTCGTTGATGGGCAAGAATGGGGCGTCAACGACGTGCCCCGTTACTGTACTTACTGTCTTTCGCCAGCCTGTTTACTTTTCGTAAACTATGAAATGCCCGGCCGATGCATTTCGCATCGAAGTGGAAAAATTCGGCATTTTGGAAGCTTTCGGAAGTGAACAAGTGCGTCATTCATTGAACATTGAAGTTTTTCTTAAAATTAAATAATTCCGAAAATCCTTAACCGCGCTACTCGATTGTTTTAGCCAATGAATGTAGCTGTGTCTGTGACGTCTTGCCCGCGCGCTTTGTGCTTGGCTTAGCGGGTCTTGAAATGGATATCGGAGGCAGGCACTTCGCAACACGCGTGTTTGTTTACACATAGCTTTGTGACATGAGGATGGGCGGTGTTGGGGAGTTCTGCGATGATAACCTCGTAATTTCTCAGAATTTCTTAAGGTGCATGGAACATTTTGGTGGTGTCAGTTAGTCACCGATATGTCACAGTAAGTACTAACCGTATATGTTTCACATACGTTCACCTATTTTGCACACAGGCGGTCAATCATTGTGAAAAATTGTGTGAATATTTATTTTTATTGAGACGTTCCAAGTGCCTGTCTTTCAACGGTCTTGTACGTCAATGCACGTGCGTCAAGAGCCACAAACTCAAACAATTTCATCTCTGTTATTGTTTTACGCCTGAATGCGTGATTGATCAGGGAGTGGGTGCCATGTAAGGGGAACATTTTCTTTGGGGTTCCGAAAAACACAATTCCACTTGACAATTTCATTGGGCCATTTCAATTGGAACCTCTGCATAATGGACCCACAACAAGCCCTCTGACTGACTAGTCAAGAAATTCAAGGTCTATATATTGCTCTTATTTAGCCGCCGATAGTTATTATTTAGAACAAAGTCTTCATTGTTATCTTCTAAAGCTACAGACTATCCGCTGACCGCTGTGGAGACGTGCGCCGGGCCTCGAATGTGGCGCACGTCTCCACTGCGGACAGCGCTTCATACTTGAACATCCCCGTGGTCGCGTGCGCATATCCCGCGGAACTGTGCGCCTCATGCGCGCGCCAGCGCTCAGAATCAACAGCAAGCGTGTGCCACGCAATCTTGTATCATCTCCTGGTATCATGTCTCTCTGGATGATACACGTGGTGACGTGGGTATGGTGCATGAGGTACGATTGTACGCGCGGGCACGGCAGTTGTGTGTGTGTGGCGTTGTGTGTGTGTGTGGTGTGTGTGTGTGTGCGTGTGTGTGTGTCTGTGTGTGTGTGTGTGTGTGGTGTGTGTGTGTGTGTGTGTTGTGTGTTGTGTGTGTGTTGTGTGTGTGTGTGTGTGTGTGTGTGTGTGTGTGTGTGTGTGTGTGTGTGTGTGTGTGTGTACATATAAATGTCGTGTGTATTTGCTTGCTGTGCGTGCGTGCGTGCGTGCGTGCGTGCGTGCGTGCGTGCGTGCGTGCGTGCGTGCGTGCGTGCGTGCGTGCGTGCGTGCGTGCGTCGTGCGTGCGTGCGTTGCGTGCGTCGTCGTGTGTATCTTTTTGCGTGGCGTGCGTGCGTGCTTGTACGTGTGTGCGTGCGCGTGCTTGTACGTGTGTGTGTGTGCGTGCGTGTAGGTGTGTGTATATAAATGATCGTGCGCGTGCGTCACTGCACGCAATCTAATATCTAGTGTAGCAGCAGAACCATTCACATTAGTTACGTTCATTCGTGCAGAAGGAGATTAATAACGAAACACAAATATTAAAACAAGCAATCATAGTAGAAAAAAAAGTAAGATGCGTTCGTTATCTACTCCTGATTCACCGCGTGTTATCATTAGAAACTGTTACTGGTCACGATTTCGTCTTTACTATTTGCAACTTAGCCCGACCAGGCTGTGCGACGGATTGTCTATACATGACATGTTCTCGGATGTTGGGGTGGTTTACATGAGGACCGCAGATCGTTTAATTTCCTTTGTTCGATCCATTACGGATTTTAGTCACAGTCGGAATGATAGCAAACATGGCGGCGAATTCATAAATTTTGTTGCATTCGTCTCAAAAAGTCGCTGTAACCCCGTAAGTACCCAGCGCATTGTAGCGCACTGATGGTTACAAGAAGGTGGACGTTTACTGATTCATTTGGTATATCACAGATGTAGTGTTCTTTGGCGATACTTGGCAAATAAGACAACTACGTGTTTAGCTGCAGCCAAGGTTTGAAACGGTATTCTAACCCTAGCAATACCGTTTCTTGGAGCTATTTGCAACTGTGCTTTTCAATCTACGCCGCTAGAGGAATATAGCAAGCATTCCCTCGCAGACGTGCAGTTTCCTGCATTTCCGTAGAAGATACGCGGTGCTGGAGTGTGTTCCACGTGTGTGAGTTTACGCGTTTGCAATCATGATTCATACGTCTTGCGTCCGTTACAGAACAAGAGCCGCAGAGCGTCTGGGCTCATCTGAGGTCTGTTGCTACGGTTATAAACGTAACATTTAAGTCGTGCGTAGTGACACCTTTGTTAGGCGCAGATATGCAGATACGCAGTTGCGTACACATCATTTCAGCAACCTTCTGCATTCTGCGTACCTACCTCACAAATCCCATTGGTTGATACAAATCGCGTGTCTGAAACTCCTGTTTTATGGTGCATTGTGACCCTAACCCTAACCCTAACCTTTTTTTTTAAATAATATTAATTGTTGTAAAAATGCTTTGTTCTTATTAAATTGTTGTAAATAAATCATGTAAATATTTGCATTAATTGGGAAAAAAGTTAAATGGATAAAGATAGAAAAATACAGAAAACAGATAAATAATAAAAAATCTGATGAGATTCGATCAAACGATCTTTGAGCCGTGACGCCTGTGCTGTACCCGTTCAGCTATCCAGGCTTATTGGATTTCTGGATTATGGATGTGCCATCAATATGAGAACACTGTGACATCATTAAGGCAGTTCAGGAATCCATGTTTAACCCTTCTCTTGAGGGTCAAAAGGTTATCAGACACTTACTCTTCGCACGTCAGTGGAAAGCACATTTCATGGTCCTTTCAATAAAGTGATAAAAATGGTAGGTCATCACACACACACACACACACACACACACACACACACACACGAGTCTCACCGCACGCACGCCACCGTGCACAAACTCACAGGAAGATAGCGCGAAACGTTACAAGCTATATGGGCACGTTCCAAGCGGCCGTGGTTATACTGCCTGCGTAATCGCCTCCTGCCATCTACGCGGCGAGCGACAGACGCGGGTTTTTCGTCCCCCCGACAAAGCGAGCAGTAGTACCAGCAGTAACTCACAGGCCTAGACCGCTGCCGCCGCGCCCGTCCTTCGATCCTATCCTCTCATTTTTTCCGCCACAGGTAATTCTTCACCTGTGCCGAATGCACTCACACGCATAATCCGTTACTATTTAAAACGAAATAGCGAAATCGCGTTTCCAACGAACAAAGGTGCGATTATGCCGATCGCTAACCATCTGAAAATCGCGTCTGGAGTCTCGGAGTGTGAATGAACACTCGACAAGTGGGAGTGGAAGGGGGGGGTAACAAAATCGACGCACGCGTCCGCCATTGTAGCACGTGACGCCGTAACGAGCTATTATGCAACCGACGTGGCAAGTGACGACAGGTGCTCTCGCGCGCGCTTCTTTAAGAAAAAGTGCAAACACTCTTTCCTCCTGTTAGCCGCCCCTCACAACGTTTGCCTCTATGCATTTCGGGTTATTGGTTGTAACCATCATGACGTTAATGGTAATAAGACTGACCCCCACCGTCTAAAGCCCCTGCGTGGCCCACGAGTCCATAGGTTATAATCAGTTCACAACGACTTACGGGGTCAGTCTATATAATGTGATAAATGCAATTTCCACGCGTTCCCTTCACGCGATTATTCAGACAAGACAACATGAATAGAATAATGAAAGGTTTATATATATATCAAGAGTAGATAATAACACATGTTATTATCTACTCTTGATATGTATATATATATATATATATATATATATATATATATATATATATATATATATATACCGCGGAACTGAGTGACTAGAAACTAGCTACATTCTACATTGCGCCATGGAATATATAGCGTAACCGTTATAGCAATGAACTCGGTGCTCAACGGTTCCGTATAGTTGGGAGAAAACCTTTCATTATTGTATTTTTGTTAGGGTATACGAGAATAATCGCGTGAAGAAAACGCGAGGAAATCACTCAGTTGCGAGGTATATATATATATATATATATATATATTCTTTTGAATCATCATCCTATTATTGAATAAGATTTTCGAATAATAGCTGAGGCTAGATGTCGTGCTTGTAATCAGGATTTTATATCTTTTTATAAGGTGCAATAAATGACAATGGCGCACAGTGTGTTGGGCCACGTTTCCGAGATAAAGCATCGATAACCTAAATGTCTACGTCGGAACCAATACCAATAGACAGCAATCATGTTATCACATTACCACATTATCACTCGCCGACACAACTCACCGTTTGAATATCATTTGCATTAATGAGACAGTAAGAACACCAACTGGAGCCCTATATACCTGGGACTTACCTGCGCATTGCTATTTGTGCGGAACACATTTTGAACACAGCTCAACATATGCGTACACGTTCCACACACACGACGTTCACGATGCACTATCCTTCTCTTCAAATATTCGCTCGATGCAAATTTCGCTTCTCAGAACTGCCACATAAAAACAACAGACATATTCGTGTCGTCCCCAGTTTGGTTGATATGTCAAGGTCCAGTACACAGCCGTCGATGCGCCGTGCGCATGCGCGATACCATTCTACACAGCACACAATGAGCTGGAATTCGCAGACCGCGTACGGAGGGATGAATACGTCACTCGTCGCTCAACTCTCTGTCTCTCACGCCCGCTCTCCGTGAGCAACCAGTGAGACACCGATGCGAAGGGCACCTATTTGTTTCCTCCAGCGATTTTCGCCGCACATCTTTCTTTAATCACTTGTTGCTCACACGCGCGTGTACGAACGTGCCTCGCGCGCGCGCAGTTTTTTTTTCGACTCACACTCTCACGGATAACGACTTTTTATAGCGGGCACGTAAGCGTATACGAGCGCGACCGAAAACCGCTAATTCGCTGCGTCGGAACCGATGAGCATTTTGCAGGTTATTCTACACACAACAAAAAACGACGATGACGACAACTTCTGAAGCGACGTGCCGTACGCGCGTCCTCGCTTTACACTGCCGTGTTGTGGCTGCTCGCGGCGACAGTGCCGGTAGTGCGACTACGACTACCACCACGGTCGCCTACACAACGCCATGCGTCCACCTCGCCACACCGCTAATCTGCTAGCCCCGGAACGATAAGATCGCGAAAAGGCAGATGATCGGGCGTTGTGGCGGCAGCGGCTACACACGTGCGGCGCAACAAAGCTGCTTTCACTAAAATGCATCGAATACTTCTAAGGGCAGGCGTAAAATCTTGACATTAATGGTACTTTGGCTGAAACACACAGCGGGGGAGCATGTTCATAATTATTGAAAGGGGACGTCTAGCGTTTTGGTGGCTGGGGCTGTACGTAATGTAACCCATGGTACGTTGGGATTATATATATCAAGAGTCCATAATATAGAAATAGTATATTATGGACTCTTGATATATACATGTTCATAATTATTGAAAGGGGACGTCTCGCGTTTTGGTGGCTGGGGCTGAACGTAATGTAACCCATGGTACGTTGGAATTATATATATCAAGAGTCCATAATAAAAAATTCTCTTTTCTATTATAGATTCTTGATATTCTTTGGGTGAATATTATACTAGTACGTTACCTGCGTGTCCTTGCGCAGCTGGCGGTCATACGCGCACGACTCCTTGTTGAGCAGGTAACTACGAGCTGCCTCACACTCGCTCATCATCGCCACGGCGTCGACACATCGCCGATGGAAGCTCTCGCTGGATACGTTCTGAGTCTTGAAGAACAGGTAGTCGGAGTACAGCCTGCAACAAGAACGACGATGCGCGTGGGGAGGCAAAGTCGGATAAGGAGATGAAAAACTGAGATGAGGAGATAGAAAACTCCGATGAGGATGTCGCGTCGTGTTTGCTATGCGGGGGAGAGAGCGGGCGACTTATGCTTGCAACCCACGATGTTTACGCCTGCTACTATGTGTGTGTGTGGGGGGGGGGGTCTCTGTGGTAAAGAAGCAGATAGAAGCCACATAAAAGAGGTTACTGATTGCCAATCTATACGAGATAATCTTCCCTTTCTCTCTCGCATTATCTCTTTCTCTCTCTCTCTCTCTCTCTTCTGAAACTCCTGTTTTATGGTGCATTGTGACCCTAACCCTAACCCTAACCTTTTTTTTTAAATAATATTAATTATAACACATTTCATGGTCCTTTCAATAAAGTGATAAAAATGGTAGGTCAGCGCTGAAATAAAAAAGTTTTTCACTCTGTCCATTAGGCCATGTCCTCAGAAAATGTCTGATATCTGACCTTTCCCCCACTGCCCTATGACCTCCAATTTCACACTGGTGATGGGTTTCCTGCCTATCACACTATACACCGAATATTAAGAGCATAGGTCGAGCCGTTAACATTTGTGCCGCAATTCCATATTTCCTCCTATACCTTAAGTTAAGGGGTAAATATTTCCCCTCCGTTTACACATCTTGACCTTTGACCCTTAACCCCCAAATTTGTCATGCCGAGTCCTTTTCACGATCCCCCTCCGACGTCCCGAATATCGTGACCGTACGTCGAGCGGTTAAGATTTGTGCCCAACTGTTGACGCACGAACGGACGCACGGGCGGCCGGACCCACGGACTATCATTCGATTCTACAAGCTGCATCTGACTACGTCAGATGAGCTAAAAAGAAGCGTTTGTAGCAACAACACGGGCGATTATTCTCCATTGCATGACTGCATATGATGTTATACACCGAAGCTCTCAATCGCTCGATCTCTGAGTAGAATTGCCAGGTGGTGGTTCAGAGTCCATGTCTAAAGTGAGAATCAATCCCACGGCAGCTGCTATAGTAATGCCTGGTTGCTACTGGAAATGTGTAGGTAGAATTCCTACATCCACATTCTCGTGAAATATATTGGGTCGTAGTGTATTACCTAGTCTAGGGCGTGAATCATTACAACCAACCCTTCAGTAACAAATATTGTTCATATACATTTATTTATACGCATTCGCTGAACACGGTTGGTCAGGGAACCGAGAAACGCGGACGCACACATCAGCAATAGATAGACGCCAGAGCCACTCGAAAATATTACACCAGTGTAACAAAAACGTGTAGCACTGCAGCATATACTAATATAAACAGTAGCGGTGGATAATCTAATTAATGTAGCCATGAAGATATTTCTTTTAATCGTGGAAAACAAGAAGATTATTAGTTGGTTTGCCTGGTAGTAGCAGTACAATGAAATGATAACCTCGCGTGATGCAAGCGTATAACGCTCGCTCTGCCATCTACCGGGAAGCCAAACAGAGAACGCATATGTCAGGCATGTGAAGTGTGTGTAACATAATATCAGGGGTGAATAATGACAACTAATTTGACCCCTGACAATGTCAGATACCTATAAATGACCTTTAGTAATAACAAATAAATAACATTCTTTGCTCATTATGTATATTTGGTTACGCGAAAGCTCAACAGAAGAATTACCATTGCAAAGTTGAAGATATAATATATAGTGTTTGCAAACTGGATTGATACTTTATTTCTGTAATGTTATGCAACTGTTACTTTATTATCAATACTTCATCCATCAAAATATAGTATTCAATGCAAAAACTCTAGTACAAGTCATGGTTCATGTTCTTTAGATTATTTGTATTTCGTATGAAGACGTCACTTGTATTTTAGTCCAACACACAATGCTAAATTTATGTACATCCTCATATGGCTAATTTTATACTTTTTAGGCCATGTATAAAGAAGGAAATACATAGTGCGTATACAAACAATATATGCACAATATATAATAGCGGCGTGCTTGACAGAACAATTTAGAGTCCACTGAGATTACATAAAACCGACTCAAAATAGCCCTACATCAATATAAAGAAATAACAGGGCATACATTGTCAAATCTACAATTCGGCAACCAAACCATCATAACCATTCCTTATCGTATACCTAATGGCCTGTAATATTTATGTGTACGAAATCATCATAGCGCTACCCAGCAGGTTAATATGATAGGCTAGCAAAATGTCACCATGCCCTCACCACGTTCGTAACTGGTTCATCATAAACACCAACAAAGCTAGCAATAATCAACAATATATTTGCTATTAATGTGTGGGTCGTGTAGATTGAAATATTGCATGCTTTCTTGCATCGATGGTACAGAAATATTTATATATTCAGATACTTTTGAAGCCGGATCTGCAATGACGTGTGTATATGCAATAAATTGCTGGAAGAACGTCTACGTAGTACCCATGATGCATGTAGATGGCGCTACTATGCACTGGCTAGGTACTCTTCACGTAATCTTACTTTATTCTATAGCGATTCGCTACGTTCATGCATCCATGCTAACCAGCAGAACAATTGCATATCTTCTTATGCCTATTTCACGGCAGAGCAATCTGGCAACCATAACTTCCTTGGTATTTCCAACTCATCTAATCATTAATTAACCATGTAGCCTAGCTTTGTTCTACCAAATCCCTTTGAAAGTTGTCATTTAAGTTTGCATAAACCTAATTAACAGTATAGGTTTGATATAGGATGTTCGTAGGATGTTAGAATTTCTCACAACAAATCATTAGTACATGTACAATCGACAGCACTGGTACGAATGAATTTTCCCACTCATCGTGGCTACGAAAATTGACGTTTACATGGTGATCAATTCTACCATCTCAAGGTTTCCTCCGAGTTTCACACAAACACATTTATTACGGGTCTACAAATATTTAAATATGCACACATGTCTGTACATCACTCATTAGCTTTGCCACATAAGCTTCATTTAGCTTGAATGCATCACCATGTAATTATCCACCACCATGACGTTTACGTGTGAATTTGTAAGATACATGTACATCTGTCAAGTAGGTCGTTCCGCCTGGCAAACGTTGTTAGCTCATATGCGCTCAATGTACATATTAATGTAACTAGATAACATGCTTCATAGAGATACATGGGGCCATTAAAAAAATAAGTTACGTACTGCGTTTCCACTAGCATGCGAAAACCTGATGGGCAGTGCATGGCAAGCATACACACACCATCGGAGTCTGATGAATCTGGTTAGAAATATCACAATATTGATATGATGGTGGATTGAACAAATACATAAAGATCAAGCACACTTTAACACTATCAATTGAAATTTGAGAAAATTTATCAGGCAATTCTTTATTTTAACTGGTAAACACAACGTTTGAAAATTCTTGGATATTTTGAACCCAAACTTGGGTGAATAGAGTTGTTGGAGTCAGAATCAAATAGTTATTTATCGATATCTCATTAGATGTAAAACCTGTACAAAATTAACCGTAGTTTGTGGAGAACGTGGCAAAGTTTCCTAAGATTACCCATATTTATTCAATACTACAAATTAATTCATAATAGTTAACAATATTCTCTAGTTTGAGTGCATCAGACCCTTAAACCACCTCATACTTGTCCACATAGAAAGCAATATCTGTAGAGTATCTGACGGATTCAGTACTGTCTTGTTCGATAACATCATCAATCTGAAAAAAAACAAAGAACAACCATCAGCGAAACCTGTAGGTAAGTGTGAGGAAGATTCTGCTACTAGACTGTAACCATACAACACTACTTACGGAGAAAAATGAAAACAACCGTACAGTGTCCACACTGCCATCATTCAATGCTATAGCAGTTTCTGGATCACCAGGCTGCACGAAACCCACATTAAAGTAAGGATTTCAAACAGTCTTCCCGACCGTTATCATGTTTTCTCGACAATTACAATATAATTAATAATAATCAATAATAATTAATACGCACTGGTATTGCTTGCGTAACAGCAAGTGTCTACAGTGAGGCTAACATGTCTTAGAACACTCGTACGTCGTTACTTTTACAAACATATGCAAGGACTGAAGTTGCTTTGCTGACTTCTTGTTGCCAGTTAAATATAGATTTCACTTGTTTTTCATGAGACCTTCAATGTCCTTAACCTTTGTTATTGGATACATGAATGCGGTACCAGTCTGTAACCACTTACATCAGTCACAAAATAAGATGCACTTTTGCAGGAATTAGATTCACTTGTGTATGGCGCGCTATCTACAAGTCAACTGTTACGACATTGCGGAATGTGGCTGCATTATTTGCTCTTTTATATACCATAACACCACAAACTCAAGATAATTTTTACACTGGAGTAGTCTGTATTATGTCTGCTAACGGGAGAGACCTAATTTGATACATGTTTTTTATTTTTTTATTTACTTGAGAGATAATAACTCTATGCAAGGGCTGAATCGGGAACTGCAGCCATAGGGTAACTGACAACGCTGGAGGAATAGATGGGGCACCCTTGGAACTGCAACAACAAACCTGGAACCAACGTCTGCGGGTCCCTCGCCAAATTCTACTCACCAACAGATCGCAGTACGACTTTTTCGAGACGAATGACACGGACACAGGGAAGAAGTCATCAGCACTTCCGCCGCCAATGCTAAACTCCATGCTGCCGCTTTTGTTGGACTTGTCCACCACCGGGATCTGCCATTCCAGCTTGGCCCGGCTTTTGTCGTGGCTGTACTGTCCATCATATTCAGTCACTACAGGATTGCCCGACCCAGCTCTGCAAGATGATAACAAGTTAGGGTTTAAACATGGAGGACTGTGTTTCTCATAAACACTAACATGTTCAATATCTCGTCGATATTATAGGTGAATTTTACATGGTGTATGGAAACATGTTGATTCGACACTCGTGGTTTAACATTTTAACACATATAATATATACACATATATACATTTATATATATAATGAATAGCTATTATAAATATTTGTTGGCGTGTACGTGTGCACACGCAGTCTTCACGAATGAAATTTCTAAACACTGGACCTTCGGTCCACCAAGCCAGCAAAATTTACTGGACCGGACTAAATTTTACTGGACCAATATTATTTTGA